GGGGACGACAGAGGATGAGATGGTTGGACACTGTCATCGAAGCAACCAACATGAATTTGACACAACTCCGGGAGGCAGTGGAAGATAGGAGGGCCTGGCGTGCTCTGGTCCATGGGGTCATGAAGAGTCGGACATGACTAAACGACTAAATGAAATGAAACGAAGCCACATTAACATGAGCACAGATCAAAGGCAAAGCAAACAAGTAGAGGGGTGTGTATGGAAGTCAACATGTTGTTGTTTGCACTACCACAAACTGGTTACATTTAGGTTTATGTCCCATATCCCCTTCCTACTGAGTCCATGACCAACTGCTCCAGGGATTAATCATTCAGAATATCCAGAAATGTTACCTCTGTGTTAAGATTGGAAATCTCATTTATCTAGTCAACGTGAGGTGAAGTGAAGTCAACATTACTACAAAACTTTCTCCTTCAGATTCCTACTTGACTCCATTCTCCATCACATGATCAACCAAAGCATTTTGCACAGGGAGCCAAACAGCACCTTCCCAGTCCTATCCTCAACAATTTTATAGAGAAGTCTGCCCCTTTTTGTGTGTTATTCATTTTTATTCTGTGCTACTTCTGGGCAGTTTGAGATGACAACAGATGGTTGTTTTGAACCCATTTCATTCTCTCAACCGCCTTGTAATGCAGACGGAGTATCTGTGACCAGCCAATGCGTTCCATGGCCCTCATCGTAGATGAATGGAGGCCTGATCTCAGGGGCATGCGCCAAACAGTCAGAAAAGGAACACCAACTCCACAATGCATTTCCACATACAGAAATCTCCAAAAGCCACCAAGTGGGTTGCAAAAGTCTTTTCTTTCCTCTTAACTGTTTTGTTCTCCCCTGAAAAGGTTTATTTAAAGACACCTTGTCTTGACTTTAAAGGCCCCTCAAACTTCAGCATTCATTTGTCCCTCTCAGGCAATGCATCTCAGTCGGCTCGCCCACATAATCTGTCTAAAATTTAAATTAGGGCTTGCCAAGAAAGGTGAAGTCTTAATTTGCCTGTTACTAAATAACAAAAGGCTTGTTTCTTTGACCCAAAGCTTTTTATGGGGTATGCCTGGAGGAGGCACTTAAATCACAATAATTTGTAACGGCTCAGAAACATTCAGACTTCATGGCAGTATAACATTAAAAAGAAGAAGAAGAAGGGCAAGGGCAGCCACAGGATCCCCAAAAACCCATTTCAATCATGGCATATAATTTTATTAAATACAAATCCCAAATGTTATATTAAGGAAAGGGTGTCATTTGATGCTCATGGGATTACCGTACACTGAAATAAACCATACTTGCAACTTTAGGATCTGTTTACAAAAGTAAGGCCAGTGGCAACTCTTTAATAGCTAGGACAACTAGCTTATTAACCAAACTTTTCCATTCAAAAGCACTTCAGAGAAGCCAGGTATATTGCAGTCTCTGCACAGCATGTTCAGACTACAAAATTGTCGGCAGGCAGTTCATGGAAACACGCACTTACCAATACAAACAAGGCTGGCGCACCAGGAAGAAGCAGTAAATTATACATCAGAAGCGAAACCTGCTACTTCCAGCCAGGCTTTTGAAGGCAACTTTACGTTGGGCATGCTCAGTGGGAAAGCAGCATGAAAAAGCAGGCACAAGTGAGGAAAACTTTCATTCTAATCTCATCTGAGCCACTTACAGATTTGCCAAAAATGACAAAGCTGGTCCACATTTCCAGGAAACGGGAGATGGCCGAGCTGGGCTTCCCCAGCATCCACTCAAGATCCACTCTTTCTGTTCCCAAATTTGCACCAGATTTGATAAATTATTAACATAGTCCTCAGTTTGGATTGACAGTCCTCTGTCAGTCTTTGCAAGTCCACGAGAAAAGAGCACACTTCAAAAAATGAATAGGAGGAGGAAAATATTATGAAGCAAAGGACTAGAAAGCCGGAGAATGAAAATATTTAAAAACCACAGCATTTCAGAGGGTCTGGTTACATGCAGGATGCTCACTATTGCATCCTCTGATCTAGAGAGGCTGAAGAGCAAGATCTGAAGGACAGCTGGATGAGGTAAGTTACAATCACTGTCTCTGCAGAACTGGGGGTGGGGGGGAAGTCAATGGGTTTTCTCCCACTGAGCTAGACATGGAATTGCAAGACCCAGGTAGCTGCCTAGATATGAGGTCCCAGAAGCATGTAAAAATTAACTCTCAAAAACAGGAAAGCAGACTGACATCCTTAGGGCAGATTCCCACCTGTACAGGCTGAATCCTTCAAACAAGGGAACTGGGCGTTCTCTGTTGGGCTAGGGGCTAAGTGCTTACAATGTCAGTGCTGCTCAGTGAGTATCTGGGGTTGCTATGGAACAAAAGAGCTCATCCTGGAGATCTTTGGCTCCCCAAACAGAAATTGTTCATCTGGCCTCTCAGACAGTAAGAGTGCATCTAGATAGGGAAGAAGTTCTAGGAGGAACTGGGGCAATGGGGTCATTGGAAGAGCCTTTCGATCAACGTTTCCACTGAATTCTCCCCCTCCTTAGTCACCTGTACCTTTTTCTTCTCTGTCCTTGCTTTCATCCCCCTGATATTCCCTTGCAGATAACACAGGACTGAATTTCTTTAATATTTTGTAAAGTGCCATAATTATCTTGACAGAGACTGCAACTAAACAGGAAACTGTTTCAGGTTATCTAACATGGCACTACGTATGATCATGTACATTTTAAAATGTCTGGAGCAGAGATAACAGAGAAGGAGGGAATGTCCCTAGACGGGAGTGGGGGGACCAGCAATCCCAGATTACAAAATGTCTGGAACAACAGGTAATCTTCACAGACTGGAAGAGATATTGTGGAAATGACTCAAGCTGTTGTGACCTTGCAGTGCAGTGCTTCTTAAGAATGTGGCACAGCCATCATACCCCAATGAATATGTCCCCAACAGCATCATCCTAGCGCATAACTATCTTTGCTGGTTTGGAATCATACAGCTGTTCACCCATGCCAGAATAGTCATGCTGGTCACTGCCTTCCTTTCACTCCTCCATCTGCTCCAAAACCTTTGCGCAAAGCCCAGTTCGTCCCAAAACACCGAGAGCCCACTTTGCCTTCCTCCTTCCTAATGTCCCTTGATCCAATTAATTCTCAACTTCAGCCCATCTGCCGGACCACAACTTTTATCATCTTAGCAAACATGGCCATGTGGGGACCAACAGGGGTAGCACATCAACACATCTGGAGAGCACCAGTTTGGAGAAGAGTGATTCAGGTACAGTACTTTTATCTCGTTTACCTATCTGAAGATATAGAGGTGTTTTTCAAACTCCAGAAGAAATCAGAAGCAGAATTTTTAGCCTTTGAAATTACTGGCAGGCTGCACACAAAAACATAAATTTGTCGATACAAAAATAAAAATGGTACCCCTTTGAAAATAAAGACAGACATTTTCAGATTCACTTGTTATTTCAAGCAAACTTTGTATCAATGTCAATGCATACTATCATTTCAAATTAAGAAGCAAAGTTAGAATGTGAATCTCACCATATACTTTTCCTAACTGGATTTAGCATCTAGAAACTTACGGTATTTCTTTAGAACTGAACAAAAGGACAAAGAGTGCCGGTTTCATACCTGGTATAGATGAATCTCAGTTGGTTTTATACTGAATGTAAAAATTGCATAATTTGTTATTTTATTTTAGTCTTGTGTGATAATGCTGACCTATGGTCATAATTAGAGATGGGCATGAAAAACTTTGTGCCAGGTTGTCGTCATTCATCACTGCAACACTACAGGTGCTGTGCATTTTCTACCCCCACCAGCTCGCTCATTCACCTGCCAGTACATGCTGATCATTTCCTCCCATCACACTATCTTCCAGGCCAGGCAGAAGCACGAACTTCCCTTTTCTGCCTCCTCCAGCAGCAACCCACTCAGATGAAGAGGCAGGGTAGGGATTCAGACAATGCTACTTGTGAGCGGGCAGCTGCTGGAGGAGGCGGAGAAGATCGCTCAATAGGGAGGGAATGAGCAATGAACAGGTGAGTGGGTGAACCCGGTGGGATCAGGATAGAGAACGTGTGGCGCTTGTGGTGCTGCGCTGATGAACCTGGAACAACCTGTAACAAAGGGCTTTCTGCTCATCTCCAGTCATCATCATCATCATCATAAAGCAAAGTAACGGTTTCATACCTTTTATAGGTAAAGTGTATCCTACTGCAGAAAATAATTCCAAACTTATTCTGTCTCTCACTGTGGGGTAGGTGGGATCCTCACAGCATTCCACTATTCTAGAAGGGCAAAGAGAAACAACCAAGTAAGTGATGACAAAAAACAACAACACACAGCCACTCACAGCCAGTTTTGAGCAAATGGTGTAAACAACCAAGGTTCTCCCCTTGATTCTTACTAATGTGCATGATGCTCCTTCACACTTCACTCCAGAGTGTCCCTTGGTTGTTCAGAAACAGATAATGGCATGGTGATGAAGAAGATATTATGATTTAAAGCAGGGTGGATTTGATTTCAATTGCTTTAAATCTCTATTTTAATTTTTAAAACTGGATTAAAAAAATTAAATCATGCTTTAAATCAATTTGTTTTTTTAAAAAAAATCATTGATTATTATCCACCCTGCCTGCTAGAAATGACTTATGATTAAAAGGATTCCAGGAAAATGTACACTATAGGAAGTGTAAAAAAAAAAAGGCACAAAACACAACACAGCTGCATTTTCCTATTTTCTAACAAGCATTGTGCTCCTATAAAGTTCTTATTTCTCTTAGTCCTTCCCTGACAGTTAAGAAGCCTCTTGAAACCCAGAGTATCACATGTGCTCTTACAAACTGCATGTCCAAGGAGAAGCATAAAGCAAGCACAGTCAGATCAGGTTCTGCAATCTCTCAATGTCTTTCCCTTTGGGCACCTTCTTCATTCCAAGTTACCTTACTGACTTCCAGAAATGGATCTCATATAATTCAAACCTATTTGATGAAGTCCTACCTCACACAGCTATTTGTCAAGGCAACTGGGGACACAGGCTTCCTTCCAAGAGTCTTGGAGCAAACTTCCTGAAATTGGATGAACAGAAATAAACACAAGACGGAACAAACAGACCTTCTAGGTCAAAGAAAAAGGTACCATCAAGTTCCGTCTTAAGTGAGTCAGAGAAAAGTAATAATCCAAATTATTATGAAGCACTGCCACACTCTATTATTGTTCCCTTTTAGCTGTCTATAATCTCAATTATAGGGACATGGTGCTGCTGGTTAAACTGCAGAAGCCTCTGTGCTGCAGGGTCAGAAGACCAGCAGATCGTAAGATCGAGTGAACTCCCGTCGCTTGTCCCAGCTCCCACCAACCTAGCCGTTCGAAAGCATGTAAATGTGAATAGATAAATAGGGACCACCTCGGTGGGAAGGTCACAGCATTCCGTGTCTAGTCACACTGGCCACGTGACCATGGAAACTGTCTTCGGACAAACGCTGGCTCTACGGCTTGGAAACGGGGATGAGCACCGCGCCCTAGAGTCGGACATGACTGGACTCAATGTGAAGGGGAACCTTTACCTTTACCTTAATCTCAAGTATACATCTTGATTTATCCCAAATGTTCAGGGTAGATTATTGGGGGGGGGGAAGCAAGCACACATGCAAATCTTGACCTATGACATTGCTGGCCAAGACTGATGAGAGTTGGAATCCCACCCATCTGGTTGGAGAAGTCAGGTCTTTACAAATACTGTATGGAATACAGAATGATAACCATGGGAAGGTGAGCTGGGGCTGCTATATTCTCTTTTCACAGAGTGAAAGTGCTCATGGATAATGGGGCAGAAGCTACCAAAGGGCAATTCTACTACAGGCTACTCAAAAGATCAAAACGAAAACAACAGAAGGCAGTACTGCATTCAACCAACCCAGGTATTTGGCTTTCCCTGAGGAGCCTTTCTCACCCTAGTTAATTAGAAAGGTCATTTCTATGAAGCAACTTCCTCCATTGATAAGAAAAACCCAGCAGCTACCACTTCTATCACATGAAGGAAGTTAACCTTAGAAATGCTCCCCAGAGAACCACACAGGGCCATCCAGCCAATTGCTGCAATTTGTATGTTGATGGATGACAACAATAGTAGGTTTTCAGGCTTTCCATCTTCTTCCTGATGGAAATAAAGTTCACTGTGGACACAGCGAGAGGGGAGATTGCTGGACTATTAAGAGCTTGGAAAAAATATGAGTCCAAATAGAGGAATATGTCATCATCCCATAACTCACAGCAAAGAACCTATGAATCTTCTCCCTTCTTTGTCCTCATATGTGTTGAAAAGCTGAAAGCAGACTTTTCATTCGATTTTAAACCCTGCTTTTCTCTGAAGAAACTCAAAGCTGTGTCTGATTCTCCCCACCCATTAACATGTTATTTTTACAACTATCTTGTAAGGAATGTTAAACAATCCACAGTAGTCCACCACTATCACACCACAAATGGCTTTTAAGTCTTGTTTTCAAAAAAAGTATTGATACCAGCACAATGCTCTTTGCTGCTTTTCAGAGCCAAGACTCAGTAAAAAAAAAAAGGCAGTATCTGAAATCCCTTCAAGCAAATTAAACCCTGTTATTATGTTCAGATTGGCAAACTGCTTCCTAATTAATTATCCTGTTGTCATCACAACCTTCATGTTAAAAATAATAATGAAAAATTGGATAGATGGATTTTTTTCACATTTTCCCATTAACGCATGCCTTACAGAGTACAGATTTCAATCTATGCCAAAAATGGAAGCAAGGTGTGGTAATTATTCTAAATCACCAAGGGTACAATGCAAGGATAGTACTTAATACATGCAAAATAACATGTACAGTTTGAGGTTTTACCCATCATTAAAGAGGGGAAGCAGCAATATTTCAAGTGGTGTGATCATTATGACAGCTTTGGAAACAATACATCAGGAGTTATTGGTCCACAAATATGTCAACTATCTCTGTCCGAATTCTACAGATACATTCCTTCTCATGGTTATCTTGTGTGTGGATTCTGTGCGGGATAGAATGCATTACTGATTTTCAAGTCCCTGTTTTGCTTAACCTTCTCACTTTATTTTTAAGCAGCTAGAATCTAAATTAATGGCAATTGTATCTAAAAGAACTGTGTTGCATAACCCCAATATTTTTAATACTAGCTACACTAAACTTAGTTGACTGGGAAAATGTATTATGTACACAAAGCAAACATTTGACTTAGTTCTGCTGGGCTTTTTTTTTACCTGTGTGTTTTTTTAAAAGACATTTGCAATTTAATGAAATTCTTTTCTTGACTGGCAGGCTGTGAACAGGACTACTGTCTGAGTCCAAGATGTGTACTTTTCCCACACACACCACTTGGCTAGATTTATAACTGGCAAAAGCAAGCTGGCAGTTCAGTGAGGCTGAAAAGACATTGGTTGGGGGAGGGATGGGGTGAGTATGTCTAAGAGAGAAAAGAGGAGGGCCAAGACTGTACATCCACAGGGTCATTTTAACAGAGTAAAGGTCTAGTTTTTATTTTTACCAAAATGCTATCCAGTGGTTTGCATGTAGAAACATAATAGTCCAGCATTGTGGAATTCAAGCAAAGATGTATGTCTTATTTCAAGCCCTGAGAAAATGCAAACACAAACTCGAAACAAGGCGATAATTAGAAGGCGGATGGCAGTGTAAGACCTTATAAATAGTATCACACTTTACAGACCAGAACAACCATCATCAAGATTACTAACACAGATCAGAATCAACGTCCACAGCCAAAAGGATGCTTTCAAAAAGTACAGATTAAAACTGTTTTCATAGCAACCCTCTGTACACCAAAAGTAGAAAGGTTATTCTAATATTAAGATGTGTACTTTGCATCCCACATTATTCAGAGGCTGCCTTGCAATCAAAACTTGAAATCAAGATTTGAGGTGCCAGGGATTGCCGGTAACTACAGTTTGCCCCGTTCAGATGCAGCAAGAAATGTCAAATGAGGAAACAGGGTGAAGAAGGGCCACGGCACCAGTAAAGCAGCTGCTCATGTTGGTCAATATACGATTTGACCCAACATCTGAACCTTGGATCACAAGTCGAGGTTCAGTGTCCAGGAATAATGCAGCAACAAGAAGACCAAGTTGTCCTCTGATAGCAAGGCTCCTCAGCCCGGTTGCAAGAGCCATTTGTCTCAGAGTGGAGCACAGATGGAAGGGGGCTAATTCGTGCCTTGTCATACATCCCGTGTTAAACTATTCGTAGATGGCCTGATTCTAGATCAGCGTTTTGTAAACAGGAGAACAACTCCTTGATTCAATCCCGAGAGAGAGAGTCAGCCTGTGACATAAGCTTTTGTAAAGGTTTTAAACTTTAACTCTGGAAGCCCAGGTGGACTCGGTGGCCAGGGGCGCCTTCCTTCAGCTGCGGAAATTATACCAGCTACGGCCCTACCTGGACAAATGAAGTCTCATGACAGTTACTGCCTTTGAAGATGGTCCAGCGTCTGCAACTGGTCCAGAATCGATCTGTGCGGCTGGTTAGTGATGGGGCTGTTAGGGGACACATCAAGTCGATTCTGTTTAAACCACATTGGCTACCAGTTGCTGCCTGGGCCCAATTCAAAGTGCTTGTTTTGACATATAAAGCCCTAAACGGCTTGGGCCCTGGATACCTGAAGGACCGCCTCCTTCCATATGAGCCTACCCGGCAGTTAAGATCTAGCCAGGGGGCCCTTTTGAAAGAGCCCGTCCCTCAAGGAGGTAAGAGGGACAGCTTGTAGACAAAGGGCCTTTTCGGCAGCTGCCCCCAGACTATGGAATGCCCTCCCGACTGAGATTCGTCTGGCGCCGACACTGATGATATTTTGGCGCCAGGTCAAAACCTTCCTGTTCCAGAAGGATTTTAATTGAAATAATATCAGCTGTGGGTCCTGATGGTCATTTTAGAGTATCTATTTTAATTGTTTTATCTGTTTTACTGCATTTTAATTGTTGCAAGCCGCCCAGAGACCTTTGGGCAGTGTGGGCGGCATATAAGTTAAATAAATAAATAAACAAATAAATAAATAACTGAATAAAAAGTGGGGAGGGGTGGAGTTAAACTTTCTGTTAAAACATCCCCTGCACTCATCAAAGCCCTCAGGAAAATTCTCCAAGCTTTGGGGGCTGATTAAGCCCACCTGAAAAGGAAAGATGGACTTTACAAATACTCCAGATCTTCTCTGGCCTGAATGAAAATCCAATTCAAAGAAAAAGCCCTAGCTTATTTCCAGCCAGTGTGCAGCTTCTCTC